CTGGCAACTCTGCGCTCCTAAACAACGGAAGTAGATAAAGTCTGCGTGATCAACAATGGCTGCGCCTTGATTCAAGTCTACTAGATCTAATCCCCGACTCAGACCTACAAAACTTTAAACTGGGCCTAAAAATGCGCAAACTACCGTAATTTTGTCATGAACAGATGGTATAACAGTGGCTTTCGGTCTCCCATCAGGATTTTGGAAGCCATTGGATATGATCTAGATCTAGATTTAATAGTGGTCGCTCGTTACGGAAGTCCTCCCCTTTGCATCACCACAAACATAAGGTCATAAAGGTACCAAAGATTAGGTGTAATACAAGGGAGTACAAGCATAAATATGAAGGAGGTGAGGTAATGACGATAGATGTTTGATAGGAAAGAAGGAGCAAACCACAACAGAATACCCTCCAATCACCCACTCCATTTTTATTTGGGGGGTAGGGGCGTGGATAAGGACAAAGCATTTTGGGTTAAGTAAGTCAGTTTAGTCGTTTATAAAAATATTTTCATTTCTATAAATTTTCTTTTGTTGGGGGGTTTGTTTTGTTGTTTTTTATTTTGTTTTTGATCTAGATTCTAGATCTAGATCTAGATCTAGATCTAGATCTAGAAATCTAGATCTAACAAGATTTTCACGACACTTACAACACTAATCGGTGATATAAATGCCGAAGATTAGAGGTACATAAGTAAGGGCGATAGACGTTTGGTTAGAAAGAAGGAGCAAACCACACCAGAACACCCGCCAACTACCCTCTATTAACGGTTGAGAGATGAAAAGACAAAAAAGGACCAACATGACAATGTGGCTTGATTAATTATTTTTTGGTAAGAGATTTATGGCACTTCCATGACAATAAAGTAAGTCCCAATAAGTGCCGAAGATTGGACGTATGTAGTGACCTGTAAAAAAAAGGTGAAAGATAGACAAGGACGATAGACGTTTAATAGGAAAGAAGGAGCAAACCACAGCAGAGCATCCAACCACCAACTAGACACACACTAGCTGAATGCTATCTTATACTAGGGGATTCGGCAACATTTTTTTAACCAACTAGGCAATATCAGAGCACAGAGAACGCCCGCTAGGACAGAAAAAACAAAACAAAGCAAAACAAAACAAAAACGAGAGGTTCTGGAAAGGAATTTGAATCCTTTGAAATTAGCAGTGCATCTAATGGCAAAAACAACTGTCTTGCTACTTTAGAATTAGGAAGTTTTATCTGCCCAGCGGAATGCCCAAGTGAATTGTGATTGGTCCATTGTCTTGACTATTTTAAGCGACTCTGTGACCGTGAACCTGAGGGAGGTGAACCTGACATACTTAGCGCCCTATGAGTATGAGTTGTGCCTTTGAATGGTTTTGTAGTGAAGTGGTGAAAGTTATTACTCGAGTGTTCAGTTCCAATGCAGGATAAAGACATTGATGTTAAGCTAACAAACGGACATAAATCTAGATTTATTTAGATTCTAGTTCTAGAAATCAAAGCGATCAGTAAAAAGAATGAAAATTAAAGTATAAGGTCCTCTTTCACGAACCCAAAGATCCTACCATCCCATCTACTATTCTCTTGACTAGGGGGACTTGACTATCTTCAACCTGCTGTTGTTTTATTGTGCACGCCCACTTTTTTGCCCCACCAGCCGCCCCAGATGACCTCGTATCATAGGCCTACCCATCTCTAGATCTAGAAATCAAGGTTACAAAGTAAAAGAGCAAGAAAAAATATTTGAATGGGAAGAAACTATCTGGCACGTTTGCGGAGCTGAAAAAAACATTGATAATACTCACTGATTTGGAACAAAATACGGCTTTCTCTGGGTCTATAAGGGATAGGGGTACCAGATCGACAGCAGGACTATGCCGGTTGCTTGGTTCCACTTTGGTTTGAGAAAACCGCGCAGAACGTCATCAAAATATTAGGGTTTCGCAATGATAAATTGGTGAATGACGTCATTGCCTTCTCCTAGGCCTAGCCTAAAGCTTAGGCCTAGGCCTATAATACGCAAGAGAATCCTGAACCCAGATGAAATAAGAAGGTATTTCCTTACCAAATGCTGGAAATAATACATTGATGAAAATCAGATGAAAACAACCATCTTCTCATCAATACTCCAAAAATTGATATCCTAAGATAGAGCTACCCGAAAGATGAAATATATAAATTGCATTAGGCCCTATTTAAATTTAATTTAATTTTTTTTTGAAAAG